CCCCAAAACCCCAAAACCCCAAAACCCCAAAACCCCATCAAGTCAAATTATGAGCTTATTGTTAAGAAATTTATTTAAATCATTCATTTTCTTCATCTATCTTTGGTAAAATTGTGCTCATCTAAACTTGAATAATCTGAATCAACTTTAGCCTTTTCTTTTCATCAAGTTCTATACATTTAATGTTAGATATTATAGTAGTTAAATCGAATCTATAATTTAGCTAAATTAACTTACTATTCTCTTAAGCAAACTTCAATGCCACTGAGCTTGGGTCATCATTCTCATATATAACGATTCGTGACATCTCATCTCCTCCTAAGTTAACATCTAGGAATAGTATGGGAGATCTCTCATCCTTGGTCTGTTCCTCAATAGACACCATGTTAATGTCGAATTCTAGCAGTCATTAATTAATCATTAATTTTACTTACACGAAATCTTGCTCTCTTCATCTGGCTTTATAATAGCTCTCAGCATGTCTGAAGATTTTCTCTTTGCTCCAAGTTGTGAAGGATTCTCAATCTACTTATTGAAATTATTAGTGCTCTTTTCCTTGGTGTTTAAATCCTACTTCACATGCTTCTAGTCCTTTATTCTTGATGAGCTTCTGTTGCTTGGTTGCTGAGTGTTATATCCTGGATAGTTGATCTTAAGACTTTGCTTGATTTTACTCAGATGATCCATACTCGATCTATCTGTAGCCAATTCCTTTGAATTTGATAGTATGTCACTTTGATTTGAGAAGTTTTTTACACTGAATATATCATGACTGTCATCCATGCTTGCCTTTTTAGAGCCAAAGATCTTAGCTCTTGAGTCATTATCGGCAGAGCTTTGATTCAAAATCTTAGGGTAAAAGCTACACTCAACCATCTCCTCGTCTTCCTTTATTTTCCTCATCTATTCCTATCTCTTCTTTTACTCCTCTTGCTTTCTGTAAAGTAAATCAACATGGCTATTAACCTGGTATTCCTCTGAAAGCTATTGATAGTGAACTTAAGCGAGATAAACTGACTTGGGATTTTTGTAATGCTTGTGAGCTGAGATGTTTAACTGTGACTGATTATTAATCTATTGTTTCTTTTGCTCTTATTGATTCTTAGCTTAGTTCTGTAGGTGTAACTTGCGGTTTTCCACCAATTCCAAATAGTTAATAATCATGTGTCTGCATTATTCTTGAGATTCAATAGGAAATTCAAAAGGACCCATGAAGTTAATGCTTTTATTCATTCGTGGGCTTCTGTTAGTTATGATCTGAGACTCCAATATCTAAGATGAATCAAGGTCTTCTTATCTGACCTTGATCTGAACTACTTGTTTTTTATTTTTAGGCTGAGAATTTGTCTTGCCAGACATCCAATCGAAGTAAAGATTATTCAGAGCAAATATAAATGCTCTAAAATCTCTGACAAAAATATAATTCTTCTCCCTAGACAGCTATACATATGACCAGTTTATCAAGTCATCTTAACTTTTACCTTCTTTATTCTGAATCCTTAGTTTAAAAGCATTAGACATTGCTGGATGAGAGTAGTTAGATTATGATTCATTATAATAGCCTAATCCCACAAGCAGCTGCTTAAATTTCTATTTAGTTATCTATATTTCATCATTTTCGAATTCCCTAAAAAGTTGCTCTTAGATTTCATTTGTAAGTTTCTCTGCTAGTACGAAATCAGACTTTTCCAATGAATATTTAGGTGATAATAAAGTCTATGTGCTTTATGAGTCTAATGACTATCTTCTATTAAGTCTTTCCAAAGCATCTTCATAGAGAATAGATTCAATACTGCCAGATCTTTTCATCTTTTTCGATTTTTCATTTATCTGTGGAGTAAAGCTAGGCAAGTAAGCATTCTACTTCTCAAGCTGTGTTTAAAATTTGATAGACTCCTTTTCACTATAAATGAATGATCCCTTGAGTTTAGAGTAGTACTTCTCATTATGCTTAGCCGTACTAATTACTTTTTCTTTCTCTTCTATGAGCTGCTATTCTTTATCGTCATAAGCTTTTTACCTTAGTACGTTTTACTTTTCTAAGATATAGATCTAATCTTAATAGAACTCGTCCATGCTTCTGCGTCTATTTGCAAATTTTTGACTAGGCTTAGAGAAAAACTGAGGCTAAAAAGAGCATTCTTATAGTTATTTTTTCTCAGGGTCATTTAGTTCTTGCATCTTTTTGAGATTCTCAAGTTTCTAAACTCCTTTTTAATAAAGCAAATCATGATGGCTCTGCTGTGATTGTCTATTCTCACTTATCATTGAAGAATTGTAAGATTTCTTTTTCTTCTTGGCATTATTAATTTGCAGATCTTTTTCAATTAGCTTAGCTACCTATTGTCTTAGTTGCTATTTTCTTTCTTCTGCTGTCTGAACATGATCTTTATTCTAGTCATCTTAAACTTTTTAAAAGTATTCCAAGTTTTGCTGTTTCTCAAATTCTACAATGTCTTTTTCATTAATTATCAGAGCCTATCGCCCTCCTTCACTCTTATCAATTAACGTTTACTTAATGATTTGGTTGGCCAATTTGTTATATGCCTATTTAAAGTCTTTGCTCATAGGCCTTTTATAAGTCTGCTATTAATTCTATTTTTAAAGTATCTGCATTTGTGATTGAATGTGATGCTCATGTTGAATGAACTATTCTTGCATTACAGGGTTTGGAAGTTCCTTCTCAACTGGTATTTGTTTCGGCTAAAGTTTATTTTCATTTAGTTTTTATTTCCCTTGAATTGATTGTTTGAACTCCTCCTTAGCTTATGACTATCTTTGATAGTTAGTCTATAGCACGAAAGAAGATGAATACTAATCATTGAGGATATGATTTACGAGCTCCCTTTGTGTGTTTATATCGCTTATGTTAAGATCTAGTTTTTATAGTTAAATAATGTTATCCTCTACTTGACTACTCTAATTCTATCTCTAAGGACTAGGACTTCTACTAACAGCCTTTGTCATAATAGCTGATTGACTTTGAGAGTGGTCAGTAAGTGACCCAATAAAAGTTTATAGGCCAAGTTTATTGTTGTTTTAGAAGCTTTACGACTCATGCTAGTGATTAATACTCTGAGCTTGTCCGATGTTTCCACGATGATTTTTAGCATTAATCTGGTTTTCAGTTCGTTCCCGCAGTATCTTATGATTTACTTGGGGTATTCGCTTATTCATTTCAGGTTTATGATGCTCATCTTCTAAATTGTAATGTTATAGGCTATATATACTGTCATACCATCTGATAAATTCATGTTCTAAGTATCATCAAATGAGATGGGTACGTTTCGGTTGGGGTTTTTGATTTTCTCTATCGAGTCCGATAATTCCTTGTAGCCAGTCACCTTCAAACAATAATTATAGATTCAAGAATTACCTATACTGCATCAGTTGACTGTAGTTTTTAGATAGGCTTTCCTAGCTTAGTATTTGAATTAGCTCTAACTGTAAATGAGGAACTATTATTTTCTTTTAATTTACTTTTGCTCTACTAGTTTTACATGCTGTTGTTTTTTAATTTATCTTGCATTTATTATAAACTTATTATATTAACACAAGTTTTATTTTTAACGAATACATTATTTCCTACTAAGGCGAGCACTATTCATTTTTCGCGGGGTTTTGGGGTTTTGGGGTTTTGGGGTTTTGGGG